GGCTCCCGGCTCAGCAGGGAGCCTGCTTCTCCCTCTCCCTCTGTCTGCCACTCTGCCTACTTGTGCTCTCTCTGTCAAATAAATAAAATCTTAAAAAAAAAAAAAAAAAAGAAGGTATGGTATCTCTAATAACTTTTATATTGATTACATATTGAAATGATACTATTTTGGATATATTAGGTTAAATAAGATATATTACTAAAATGAATTTCACCTCTTTTTTACTTTTTTATTTTAAAATTATTTATGTGGTTTGTATTGAATTTCTATTGGGGAGTGCTGGTCTAGGGTGAAGAAGAGAATTAAGAGAAAATTAGGAATCTAGAGTCAAGTTTTATAATGGAGAGATCTTGAAGAAAATATAAGGCAAGGACACATAAATAGAAATTCTGATTAATTTCAGGTTCCAAATGGCAAGGAAACTGGAAAACAAGGAAAAGACATTCTTGAACCAACAAGTCCAATGTCCAATGAACTCAACTCTTAACTTTTAAATAAAAAATTCTTTCATCTCATGACTCAAGAGGTGCTGGCCAGGAACAAAGCAAGGCTTCCAAATCACGCCAAAAAAATCTCGCTAAAACAACAGAGGAAGTAGGGAGTGGGGGAACATCCAAGGTCACAAAATGTAGCAAGGTCACAGAAACTTCATAATGAAGGAAGGAACAAACCATGGTGCAACTCAGTGGTTACTATTCTTTAACCGTACAATCTTATAAAGCTCTGCTGAAGGATAAGCTAATAGATGAATCAATTCAACTGTGAATTTAAGTTGAATTGGCAAAATTCAGATATTTATTTATTAACATTTATTTACTTAGGGAGAGTGAGAGCAGGAGGAAGGGGCAGAGGGAAGAGAGAGAATCCCAAGTAGACTCCCTGCTGAGCGCATGGAGCTCGATCTCACGACCCTGAGATCCAGAGTCAGATGCCTAACTGAAAGCCATCTGGCATCCCAAAATTCAGATATTTAAAATCCGAAATGGCACCTTTCTTTTCACCTCAATTTTAACAACCTCTATTCAAAATGCTGTCACTTTATTATTTACATAATGTTGTTGGACATAGTTTAGAACCAGAAAAATGAAATAAGCAGATAGGTAGGTTTTATTTTTTTATTTTTTAAATATTTATGTATTTGAGAGAGAGAGAGAGAGCAAGCGAGCGAGCACAAGCAGGGGGAGCATAAGAGGGAGAGGGACAAGCAGACTCTCTACTGAGCAGGGAGCCCGAAACGGGGCTCGATACTAGGACCCCAGGATCATGACCTGGGCCAAAGGCAGATACTTAACCGACTGAGCCACCAAGGCGCCCCAGGTAGGTTTTAAATGGCACTTAATTCAGTTAATGCTGCCTTGGTGCCCCCATAGACAGAACACTGCCCTAGAAATCTGGCCATTAACATTCCGGCCTGGCAGACTTATCCTGGCTAGCAATTTAGGAACACTGGTTTACTCTTGACTTGATTTCCTGGTGATCCTTCAGAATACATTTAGAAATACTCTGGTACATTCCCCGTAGAGAAAGATATGAAAACATGAATTTGTTTTATTATAATAAATTACTAAAATAAGCAAGCCTACTGAGCAGCACCAGACTACACAGCAAAGGCTATAAACAGATAAAATGAAATCCTCAAAACCTGTAAACATAAAAGCTTTGCAAAAGGGCACATAAGGAAGGATCAAAATATTGTATTTCACAGATGGCAATGTCGAGCAATGTTCGTATAGGGATGACCTTACAGACCATCTAGCTTACACTCCTTTCGTTATAGAGGAAGAAAATGGACTCCCCTTTGGTCACACAGGTGAATCTCAACCAAGTCAGGTGTAGGATTTACATGTCCTGACCACTTTCTACCTCTCCATGCTCTCCAATACTCCCCATTAATCCTAAGACACTCATAACACAAGGTCCTAAAGGCACAACTGTCTCAAGAGTAAAGAAGTCTTAAAATGACAACAGTATTCGAACCAATCAAGCTTCATTGAACTCACCTGCTTTTCTCGGAAGGAACGCTTGTTTTTTGCTCGGACATTATGGCTATATCGCATCATCATAAAGTTCTTCTGTTTTTTCTTCTCTTTATTTGTGGAACTGGAAAATGGGTTCATTTTGGTTTTCTTCCTCACAAATTCTTTTCGGTCTGTCTTTCCAGCCTAGCACACACACAAAAACACTTCAAGAGTTATCTAATCCACATACGTGTCTCCTCTATGCCAGGCTCTATTCCATCCTCTACTGGATGTCAAGGACAAAAAGATGGATGGAACTCAGTCCTTGCTCCCCAGGAACTCACTCCAGGGGAGAAATGACCATGATATATTGTAATGGAGCAAGGGAAGCTCAGTGGAGGAAAAGAGTGTAATTCAGCCAGTCAGATCAGAGGAGCTTCCTAGAAAGGGAGATGGAAGAGCTGTTTTTGGCAGGATGAAGGCACTCATGGTGGGAGAAAGGAGGGGAAGGGTAGAGCATTTCAGGAAGTACAGATAGAATATGAGAAGGTAGAGAAGAAAGAACATGGATTTTTAAACTTATCTAAACAGGTTTCAGTACAAATGGAATGCACAGGGTATTGTGGAACCAGTATGGGATGATGCCTAAAACAAATAAAGGTGTAGAAAATAAAGCTGAAAAGGTAGGCAGTTGGGAATGCTGGAGATGTGCAATCACATGCAGCCCACAGCACCTGCCAGAGGTTATTCTTTAATGAGTGTAAACATTTCCCTGCTTTCCTAAGAGCTCGGATAAATGCACTGAGCCTCCCAGATACGAGAACAGGTGCTAGTGCCTTTGTGTGTTCCCCATCTTGTTTTGGATGTTGGTTACATGGCTATCTAGTTGTTAAAACTCATCTAACAGAACACCTAATATCTGTGCATTTTATTCTATGGTAATTATACCTTTATTTAAAACATCAAAATAAAAGACTGCCATTCTGTGGCTATTCATTTTATTTCATTTTTCATCTTATTTGCTTTCTGTTTGAAGAACCAGGGAATGATATGCTTCACTTACCATTGCCGTTGCTAGTCTTGTCTCCTTGTCAGACTTTGGCTTCTTATGAAGGCGTTCAATGTCCCGAAGAGAAAGTAACTCACCCCTGGGGTAAAGAACAAATATAATATGAAACCAGGGTGGAGGTCCCTTCCCTAATATTTTCATCACCACGTGAGCTGACTGAAGAAGCCCCGGTATATGTGTTGTTTTACCTGGGCTCCTCATCACTATCGATTTCAATATATTTCCTCTTTTGGGCTTTCCCTGGGGCAGCTTCGAGTTCTTTCCTCATTTGGGCCATGCGGATTTTCTGGAAGTCTTCCTGAGTTAAAACTCGGCTCGTGCTAATGGCTGCAGCTTTGGCTTTCCGCTCCTCCATGGGCATGCTGTTGAGCTTCTTGGACTTGGAAGTACACAACAGAGGTTTAAAGAGCTACTAGCTCAAGTGAAAGCTACCACTATTAGTACCCCCCCAAGGCCCAGCATGAATTAGGTCTTAATAAACATCAGAGTGATGCACCTATACAAGGAAATTTCAGGACTTACTATTTCTTGCTGTTCTTCATCAGAAGAGTGGTGCACATCAACCCACTCACCATCGGCATCTGCCTCCTCACTGAGACTGGTACTTTCCCACCCATCTGTGTGAAAAACAAGACACTGTTAGTGCTGTCACTTTGTGTACTCACAGTAAGTTGAAATAAATCAAGCAAAAGTAAGGTAAAAGTTGGGCGCCTGGGTGGCTCAGATGGTTAAGCGTCTGCCTTTGGCTCAGGTCATGATCCCAGGGTCCTGGGATCGAGTCCCGCATCGGGCTCCCTGCTCCTTGGGAGCCTGCTTCTCTCTCTCTCTCTCTCTTTGTCTCTCATGAATAAATAAATAAAATCTTTAAAAGAAAAAAAAAGTAAGGTGAAAGTCAATAGAGCTCTACGGACTAATACTTGAGCAATATTTATTGTTAAATAAACCACATCAATGGGAAATACACACGACCATGTATCTACCATGAGCTAAACCTTATAATCACTTTCTTTAACTCTCACGACTCAACAGAAGAGGAAGAGACCCTGTAAGTTAAGATACCTATCCCAAGCCACATTGCTAGAAAATGTGGCCTATGGTGAAATCAAAAAAAAAAGTCTGATTCTAGAGCCCATGTTCTTTCCACCAATCCATGTCCATCAAAACAGCACCTGGACATTATCTTGGCCACACAGCGAGGGTCTGACAACTTGTGTAAGCATATTTATACATGTTTTTAGAAACTAGTTAGAAACAGTCATTCAGAGAACTGAAGTCGAAGATTCTGGATGTGAAAGAACCTTGCAGATACCTCAATGAAGAGGCATTAGCTCTTAACGGAGTCACCACAATAAGCTTTCGAAATCACAGA